ATAATGTGACCGGTAAATCACTTTGCATATTTGGGTAAACTAACTTCCGGTGGGGGGCCTGCGGCCCTAGAGATTTGCTCCTTTCACATGACAAAAGACTGTAACGGGGCAACACCGTGACTACACCCCACCCTTCTGCTTTGCTTCAGAAAAATACAAAAAAAGAACCAGCGCAGTTTTTAGATTGTATTGTTTGTCAAACAGTCTTAAAACTTGACTTTTTGCCATTGTTTTCAATATATTTCGTTTCGGGGCTCCGCGCCTACATGTCAGTATGTCAGACGTCTGGGCCGGCTGGGCCGCCCCGTCCGGACTGACTGTGAGCCATGCTCGAGCCATGCTCTCCCCCGGCACGTACAGATGGTTGGTAAGGGGACGGGGGATGAAGGCGCTCCGGCGGCGGGGGATACGGGAGCTCCGCGCACCTGCGGCGACGTCCAGCCCAGCCCTGCGCGGCAGACTCTCCTCGAATACCTCTGGCCTCACTTTTCGTTTCCTTTTCACCCGCCCGTCTGCATTGAAAAAGCTGTCTATAGCGGGGCTTATTCCAACGGCCTGGTGCCTGCGTGCCTGTCTGTCTGTCTTCATGATTTTATGGCTTAACTTAAAGTCTTGTTTCAGCGGATTCCTGAGGACTGAAATGTCGTCGGTTTCGCACTATCCCTCCTCACCGATCAAGGCGATAAGAAGCTTTTTTTCTCAGAGAAAAGAGGCTAAAAATTACTCCCTTTTGTACGTAAAGAGTAGCCGCAGGGCTGTTGTACTCACCTCGCCCACGGGCGACACCTGGACGTCGGCGCGGCGCACGGAGGGTGGTGGCCTGGCCTCGCCTGGGGCACGCCGGTGTCGCAGCAGGCGCCACAGCAGCTCGATCTGTCACAAGGAGTACGAGGAGAGCATGACGGATGCGGCATCGGGGACTAGGACGCCCCCACCGGCCCCACTAGAGGTTGGCGAGGGGATTGCACCGCTTCAGGGGTGGTGTCCCTTCCAGCAAACTTCCATTACTCAATATACCCAGAAAACTGCATTTTTTGTCATCTTTAATCACGAATGTACCGTCAACACTCTCAGGAATGTTTTGGTTTCGAGAATAATAACAAGCTAGGCCCGCTTTTCCACCAAACCAAGCTTTCCAGCTCCGCTTCGCTCCACCGGCAACTCGGTTTGGCAGGGAGCGGGTCTGGCTTGGCCTGAAACGACCTCGAAACGATGGAAAACTGGTCGAATCGACGGCGAAACGACATCGTTTCGACAAACATTTCTTACTGGGATGTAGCTTTTAAGCAGAAGAGCGGGCTAAAATTGGTCTTTGAATCATGTTATAAGAAATACCAAGAGTGAAGTCCACGTGATTTCGTTCTGCCACTTACACGTGCGTGTGCATACGCTCACCTGCACGTTGAAGTGCTGCAGCAGCAGTGTTCCAGCCGGCCCAAGAGCCGTGTCCGAGGCCACCGTCACGAACACCTGGTCGGCGTAGGTGAGGACGGAGACGGCGATGCCCAGGCGGCCGGGCGCGGGCTGCAGCGGGTACACGGCCTTGAGCACGGCGCCGCCGACCAGCACGGTGGAGGAGGGCCCGGCCAGGGTGGCGAACTGGATGGAGGCCTTGTCGGTGAGGGAGGAGAGCAAGCGTCCAGCCCACGACCCGCCCAAGGAGGCAAGGTACACTACCTCTGGGTCTGGAACAACGACAAAAAGGTGGCATCAAAACGATGTTCGACACCCGAGAAGAACAACGCCTTCCCTCGCGGACTGGAAACAAACGCGCTTACCTCTGCAACCCTCAAACAAAACCGCTCACCTCTAGGACATGCAAACAAAGCCGCTGAAATGAATTTTTTACACATGTTGAGATACTGGTATCAAAATTATCACTGAAAAATTATCTTTCGAATGATACCCATGTTTCAGAATGGGTAAAAAAGTCATTTAAGCGGCTTTGTTTGCGTGTCCCAGAGGTGTGCGGTTTTGTTTGAGGGTTGCAGAAGTAAGCGGTTTTGTTTCCAGTCCGCAGAGGTAAGCGGTTATTCTTCTCAGGTGTCGTGTTGATGGTTATGTCCGGCTGTTGTCAGATAAATCGGAAAATTGTTAACGCTTGGAGCCTTGTGACACTCAGCTACATGCGACGCCGAGTGCCCCACCTGCCCGGGCGCCTAAGGTGTAATGTAGATCTCTATATCACCTTACGGGCGCCGCCCCCCCCCCTCCAACCTCTAACTACCGCACCCTACACCCTCTGCGCCCGTCCTGCCTGCACCTGCTCGCAGGTACTTTAGGCACCACCTGGTGGGCTAGAGGCGCCAGCCCCCTCCAACCCCTAACCGCACCTGCAGCTGCTCGCAGGTACTGCAGGCACCTCCTGGTGGCCCAGAGGCGCGGCACGGCACCCTCCACGCTGACGGGGAGACCGATCACTACGGGGACGGTCTTGTTGGAGAGCGGCCCACCACCTCTGCACCGGTTGTTGTTATTGTTGTTGTTCTTGACGTGCGCAGGGTTCGGGTACATGTCGCCAACCACGCTGCCTGCCAGCTGGAAGTGGTGGTGATGGTGGTGGTGATGAATGGGATGGTGATGGTGGTGATTGAAGTGGTCGGCCTGGTGCTGGTTGATGTGGTTAGCCATCCGACTCTTATGCCGGTGCATGCTGATGGGAAGGGTGACCTGCACACAATCGTTTCCCACCAGCAATTTTATAATTTTGGAAAATTATTGACGAAAAATGATGAGACGATTATTTCATAAAGCCTCTGGAGGCATTGGAGCACTAAACATGACAAGTGTGTTGTTGTGTTGCAGTCATACCTGCAGATCGGGCGGCAGGCGCACGCCGCAGCCCTGGAGGAGCGCGCGCACCGCACCGCCGACCGCCGCCAGCATGACGCAGTTGAGGCTGCAGCGCGACACCTGCTGGATGCGCTTCACCTTGCTGAGGGCGATGCCGGCGGACCAGGCGACGCGCACCCCGCCGGCCGCCTCCTCGTCGTCATGGCCGGCGGCGTCCTGGCCGCCCAGGAGCAGGTTGTTGTCGCGCGCGCGCAGCAGCAGCCAGCCGAGGATCGCGAGCGGGCCCGACACAGTGGCCCGCGCCAGCGCCAGCGAGTGCCGGAGAAGCCCGCGCCGGCAGCGGCGCACCTGCACAAGCGGGCATCACCGTCACGCAACGAGATGAGGTATACAGAGCAGAGTACTAGCTATATACCAGGTGGCTGATTAACCCCGCGCACCTCTGTAGTTAGACTGTACCGCACGCACGAGTGCGGGCGGGTTGCATACTCACCCGGCCCGTAAGGCGCCGTGGACAGGGGTGATAGACAAGCCCGCCCGCACTCCTGCGTGCGGAATAGTCTAAATACAGAAGTGCGCGGGGTTAATCAGCCACCTGGTATGTTCGCCGTACCACGTCTCGCGTAACAGGCTTCTCAATATCTCACGAAACCCTGTCACGCTACGACGCGCCTGACGCAGGCCTGCGTCGCTGGCTGACACCCGAGACGAGTTATGAGGAAATAAGGCCTTGCGGCCCCAAAATTTGGCATGGTCACAGCACAAGTCAGGTCAGGGACTTAATCACTCCAAAACTATGGAAATGAAACTTCAGATTTTTGATAAAGGTTTTCAATAAAAGTTCCTCTGTCAGATTCTAAGTCGATTTTTTCGTGATAGTAGGTGGAAATGGTGCACCTAGAACGCTGGGAGGAAGGGTGTGGTGAGACACCAAATGTCCTTGTAGCGGGCACTCCCTTTAAAGTTTTTCGACATCAAGCTTTTTTTACGAATTTATGAACCATTTAGTCATTTTCACCTCATTTTCGTCAAGAAATGCCCTCTAGAGCCTAAACTGTACAAGTTAGACAGAAAAGGACGAACTTTTCGACTAGAGTCTTCTTTTAAAAGTTTCCCCTAGGATATCAAT